CCAGAGGAAGGGGTGTAGTGTACTGACAGAGATTGGGAGTAGTGGACATAAACTTGGCAAGAGCGAGAGGTGAGAGTATGAGAGTGAAGACTGGATTGGGAATAGGTGAAACAGAATTGATAAATAGGTTGGATAAGTACAGTAGGAGGAATAAATCAGGATGAATGAATTCGGTGTAAGGGTCAATTTGTGACGTGGCAGAGAATAAAACAGTTAGTAGGGTTTCCAGTTTTGGCATGTCATACGTAACTGCAATATGCCCTTGCGGGCAATTCCAGTTCTCGTAGGCTGATCAAGAGTGTGACTTGAATTGACGGCTTCATAAATATAAACTGGCATTCGGTAGCAAAATAGGTCCATATTTTAAGTACAGTTTAATGTAATTTATTTAACTGCATATTTCTCCAAATTAAGTCTAGACACCTCATGATGTACGTATGCTTTTTTTTCCTGTAGTTCCATAAGTACTTAATTAACAAAGCAAAGTTTTCCAAAAAGAAAGGAAAAAGAATACAGTCTAGAAGAGGGGTCTCCAAACTTTTCGAACCGCGGGCCACATTAAGTAATTCAGCACTTTCAACGGGCCGGACAAAATGAGAAATTAATAACTCTAGGTATAAGAGTTTTATTGAAAGCACAGAATTTCATAAACTAAATACAAAGTACGTGAGAATAAATTATCGTATATTAATGACAACAGACAGTAGCAGCAAATACTCATATTCTCATCACAAAATATAATAAAACAACTAATGTGAATGATGGAACTCTTTTTGCATTTTTAAGTCTGATTAAATTGAGGTTCAAATTTTGAAACGCTAATCACAAGTAGCGGCTTTAAATGTTCATCGAATAAATTTGCCCTGTATTTCGACTTGATGTACTTCATCTGGGAAAAAGTTTGTTCACACAGATATGTCGTCCCAAAAATGGAGATAAATTTACAAGCAAATTTCTTTAAATTTGGAAATTGCTCAGAGTTCAGAAATTTATAAAATTCGATCAAATTTCCTTCCTTGTATTTGTCTTTAATATGATAATTTTCCTGAAGTTCAATAATTTCCATTTGAATTTGACTTGGGACATCTGCAGCATCACAGTCAAACGGATTTTGAAACAATCTAATTTCCTGAGCACTGGAATCCAAATCAGCAAATCGCTTCCGAAATTGTTCTTTCAAATCTGAAATGACTAAATTTGCAAACGAGGAAGGAAATTCAGCTTCACCCTTTTTATGCAACTCTGCACAGTATAGCATATGAACAAAGTTACAGTTTTTCACTTGGCTTTCCAGAAGTATCAATTTTGCTTTGAGCAAAACTGGGCATAAGTTTCCTTTAATACAAAAATGGTAATAAGTACGACACCGGCGGTGATGATGATCTGTTACAATTACACTGCACCACTGCAAGAAGTCTTGTGCACAAGACGGCTAGTAACGAACTGCTCGCGCTACCTACATTGCCACGAAGTGACACTGCCGATCGAGGCCGAACAAGTACGAAGAAATACCGCGCAGTATACGGTCCAGAATTAGTAAAATTGTGAATAATATTAATATTAACATAATATGGAATATCAGTATATTTTAAGCACAATTTTAATTTGAAATCTATGAACAAGTATTTTTCTTACCAGTACTCATTGGCAAATTAGTTCAATTTGCGCATTTGTGCACAATTCTTTCGCGGGCCGGATAAAATCATCGCGGGCCGCATTTGGCCCGCGGGCCTTAGTTTATAGACCCTTTGTCTAGAACAAGATTCGTACCCTGTGTCATCTGCTCTTGTTCTGTAGGCTCGAACTTGTGAAGCATTTTGTTTCTGAATAAAGAGCTCCTGAATGTGCATTTTTCTATTATTTGTGATACATGTGTACCCTGCTATAACAAGTTCGTAAATTAATGATATTGACTGCCTTTTAACTTCTTATCAGCACTTGAAATACGCAGTCGATGATATGATACTACATATTTTAACGGCAGGTAACGCATCACGAAGGATCAGCATTTAAAGTAGCATTATACATGTCCCAAATCTACAGATTCGTTAATGAAAAGAAGTTTGAAGGCAATACGACCGCCTTGAAACCTGACAACTCGCCTTACAGCTGTGGCAGAGAGGTTGCCGCTGTAGTACGGCGAAGTGATGTTCGAGACTGGACGTATTCCGGCCTCTCCTTCGACCGATTTGTGTTGTCTTCGGGTCGAGCCCTGGTTGGCTTCTGACTAGATTGAGACCTACAGCGGATATTGCATTGGAGTCTAGCTATAAATACTGTATAATGCTTCTACTAAAGAACGAGGGTACGTCGTCATTAGAAAGTTTTCTTTTTATTGCTAGTGGGGTGGGACTAACTCCCTTGTACTGCGGCCACTTTTGTCCTATTGTACCAGCCCCAGATGATAGGTTAGGGTGATTGTGGAGCAATTGGTGGAATGAAGATTGGCAGGGGAAACCAAAATACTCGGAGAAAACCTGCCCCAGCGCCACTTTGTTCACTACAAATCCCACTTGACCAGACCCGGGATCGAACCCGGGCCGCCGCGGTGGGAAACCAGCGACTAACCGCTTGAGCTATGGCGCGGCCCTCATTAGAAAGTTATTGTCTTCGGTTTTTGATATCCTGACATTCATACGCCGGTGGGAAATTCAGACATACGTACACAAGTCTTTCCTTCCGTAAGATTGCCAGCTCAAGGCGTGACCTCCACTGGATCTCACAGTACATGGACTTAACCTTATGTTCAGTATACGTGTATGTGGATCTATTGGATTCGTCCGTGCATACACGTATATGCAGTCAGAGATTAGTAATACAAAAAAGTGGATACATTTCTCAGATAAAATGTATGTGCTATTTCTTTTTGTTTCAGTCTTAAATTGTAGACAGTATTGGAACTGCTTCTGTAGGTTACGGGTAAATATACATCGGGTTTTCCCTCTCGAAGAAGAACCCGCATGCACAAAATAAGTCTGACGTAACTATTCCGAAGAAGGGACGCTGTTTGATCGGAATCCCGAACATCAAAAACCCCGGATTATCTCGAGTTCCCTCACGTATGTCACTTGTGGTTATGTACCAATGGTTCCTGGGTAGTAGGTTTCTGAAGGTACAAGGTCGGTCCCGTCCATAGCAGAAATACTGTAACTCTCATAGTCGAATCCGAAGGCGCAACATCTACTGAACTCTGTCCTGAGCCAATTCATTCCATTCTTTAATACTAAAGCTACGATTACCTTAGGAGGAGCCGGGATAGCTTACTTGGTATAGCGACTGGCTACGGGCTGGACGACAGAGGGTTCAGAGTTCGAGTTCCGCTAGGGTTAAGATATTTCTCTTCTCCACGTCGACCACACCGGCTCTGGGGTCCACCGAATCTCCTATCCGATGGGAACCGGGGGCTCTTTCCCCGGGGATAAAGCGGCCGGGGCGTAAAAATGACCACTCACCTCCAACTAGTGCCGAGGTGAAGAAGATGTGGATCTATACGTCCACTCTCCATACGCCTTCGTGGCGTAGTGCTTAGTTAGTTAAGCAAAGAGATAACTTTAACTTTTACCTTACGATTTCCTTAGGATCCACTCTAATATTATCGTCACATTTGTCTTTTAATAAAAGAGAAGAGCACCCCACCCCGCCCTTGTTCAGGGTGCTCTCATATTAGACAAGAGAGTGGCCGACACTTGGAGGGAGATGCTGAGACAAGTCCTGAAGAGTAAGAAATTATTTTCCCTTGAATTTTGTTAAATATTTTTCGGTGGAGAAACGTACATAAGACTTCTGAATCATAATGATAACTGTGTGCCAGTACTTCGTATGAGGAGCTTCTTTGTGAGGAAAATTGTGAAAGTACTGTTTGAGTTTAGTGTAACGGGTCGGTTTGATTGAGACCAGCAAAAATGAAATTCCCCTGGTAAATTCTAGTGTAACTTTAGAAGATACCTTGTGCTTATTTGAGCACCGCGCTAGGAATTGCGTGCAGGAGAGTGGAAGGTTTTGAACTTCTGGCAGTAGACGGAGGTGAGTAGTTCATGCTCCGGCCGGCTTATGTCATGGGAAAGGTCCCGCGGTACTCACTGGACAGAAAATTTGGTGGACCTCAGAGCCAGACAGTTGCGAGAAGTAAAATATCGGTTCCTTACGGGAATCGAACTCCGATTCTCCGGCCATCGTTTCCATCACGCAGTCACTATACAGACTGAGCTACCCAGTTGCCAGAATGTATTTGGAATTTTCTAAGCCCACATGGCAGTAAAAAAATAAAATACTACCATCCTATTATATGCATAATAAGGAGCTTCATAACTTGTCCTCTTCGCCAAGTATAATTAAAATGATCGAGTCAAGGAGAATGAGATGAGCAGGGCATGTAGCACGAATGGGGAGAAGAAGAATGCATGTAGGATATTGGTGGGAAGGCCAGAAGGAAAGAGCCTACTAGGAAGACCAAAACGTAGGTGGGTGGATAATATTAGAACTGGTTTTGACTACAGATCTTGCTCAGGATAGGGACCAGTGGAGGGATATTGTGAACACGGTAATGAAACTTCGGGTTCCACAAAATGTCGAGAAATCCTTGAGTAGCTGAGCGACTGGCGGCTTCTCCATGGAGTCAGTAAACAGAACATTGTGAAGTTTTTATCCGGGGTTAACAAAAACCGACTAATCTCTTGCGGAAAGTGATCTCCGGTGTTGGCGTTGCGTTAAGCGTGAACCTGGTTAACCAGTTAACCACCTGCGGTCGGTCTTACGATCCCACAGCAGGGCCACCTGTTGTCAACGGGCGGCGTTACGACGTCGCCCCAGGAGGTCTATGTGCTTCGCTTCCCTCCTCCCCTCAGGCTGATGATGCAGCCCCCCTGTCAGGCTCCCCCCAGCAGCGATCTACGCTCACACCAGACCAATGACTGTTACCGGTTTTTTAAAAAAGTGGGTAGAGGGGGAGATGCAGCTTGTGCTATGGCCACCATAACGAGTCCTCGAGCCGTGGGAAGGAAGGTTTCCGACAACAGAGCTCCTTGCTGCGATCTAATGACATCCGGGGAACGAGGACAGATGGGTACTAGATTGCAATGATGTCTCCTCGGCGTGCATTCTGCACTAAACCAACCGACCTTGCTTCTGTATCGGCCGAGAAGAGTCGGCACTTCCACACAGGACAGAAGTGACGGCAGACCACACACGCCGGCCGGCCAGTTTCACACAGGTAAGCCCATCGCTCGCCAGCTATACTGACAGCAGTCGCCTTCCCTTTCCGTTGCGTCCGGGCATCGTAACCCCGTTTTACTTGCTTTGCCTCCTGGTTTATTTAACCGCGAAGGTTATACTGTATTTGTACTTTTTTTTTTACTGCTAGTGGCGTGGGACTAAGTCCCTTGTACTGCGGTACCAGCCCCAGATGATAGGTGAGGGTGATTGTGGAGCAATTGGTGGAATGAAGATTGGCAGGGGAAACCAAAGTACTCGGAGAAAACCTGCTCCACCGCCACTTTGTCCACCACAAATCCCACTTGACCAGACCCCGGGATCGAACCCGGGCCGCCGCGGTGGGAAGCCAGCGACTAACCGCTTGAGCTATGGCGTGGCCCACGTATTTGTACTTAACCCCACTGGTTTAAAGGCATTGTCAACGCGTAATCTAATCTGAATTAACTTTTGGTAACAGGATTTCCTGTCCATCAGATGTAACGGTTATACTAGTATGACACTGTACCTTGAATTAGGCAGTTGTAGGAATACATGTATATTCTTGCCGGAACAAAATTACACTTTGTTCTAACATTTTCTTCGTAAAACAAATTAAACCGTGTTACAAAAAAACTTAGAATAGCTGAGACTTCATACCTGTAATCCATCGTAAATTTCGTGTTTTGTATAAAACTATCGCCAACCGCCTCTCCACCCGGCCATCCCAGCACCCAAATTCAATTGTTACACGGCCATAATTCGGGTTGTAGAGCCTTATTTATGCCATATAAAAATGGTGAGCCGGGGTAGCTCAGTCAACATAGTGACTGGGCTACAGTCTGGACGACAGATTCCCGGCAGAGGCTCTGGGGTCCACTCAACCCCCTACACAACGGGTACCGGGAGTTTTCTCTCGGGGGTCAAGAGGCAGGAGCGTGAAGGTGACGACTCACTTCTCTATAGTGCTGAGGTTAAAGCGTCTTCATGGCGTGGTGCTTAATTAATTAAGCTCAGTGGTAACTTTACCTTTACCGTATAAATTGAGTTTGGCTTTATGGTATGAAAGCGTTCTGCAGCCCAAAACACATAAGGCGAAATATGAGTCACGTTTCTCACCACATTAAGGAGTCTGTTGCATACATGCTAATGGCGCTGCACCATGCATTGGTAGTAGTGTGACCGCCTCTGTCGTCCAGTGGTCAGAGTTCTTGGCAGAGATCCAGAGGTCTGGGTTCGATTCCCGGCGCTACCAGATTTTCTGAGAAGTAGTGGGTCTGGAACGGGGTCCACTCAGCCTCGTGATGATAATTGATGAGCTATTTCAAGGAAATATCGGCTCCGGTCTAGAAAACCAAAATTAACGGCAGTGGGGATTCGTTTCGCTGACCACGCAACAGCCTCTATCCGCTAAAGTTGGCACTAAATTCGCCGACATGCGGCGGGCGCTCGGTCGGTGTAGTTCTCTTGTGGACTAAAACCACGGAGTTTGTTTTTTAGTGGTAGTAGTGTTGACGCAGTGGCGTTTGTGTTGTTAGGTTAGCCAGGAACTTGATGCAGTCTACTCGTATATGAGATGAAATACAAATAACTTGGAGAATTGTAAACTGTGAAGGTAAAGAAGTCCATGTGCTTGACTGAACACTACGCTATGAGAACGTATGGGGGAGTGGAGGTATAGCAGCACACTTTCTTAACATCGGCACTAGACTAAGGTGAGTGGTCAGTTTCACGCTCCGGCCGCTTAGGGAAGAAGGAAGGGTGGTTACTAGAGCTAGTCTGGGTGCTGTGGACAGGAAATGCCATGCTGCTTCCTGGAATCGAATGTTCGCCAAGTAAAAGAACTGAAGTCGTTACAAAAGCGATATTAATTCTCCTTGAACTGATTATTTTGTATCTGTGTCCATTTTAAATCTTGTTTTCAGAAGTCACTTTTACAAACATACCATGACCTAATTTTCCTGAAGGATGCACGTTTGTTGTCCACTCCACCATAATCTCAAACCAATGATGTGTCTCAAACATTACGTACTTACTGAAGGTAAAGTTTACTATTCTCGATTTTCTTGCCGTACGAAGCCTTATTGCAATTTAGCTCCTGCAAGGACGTCTGAACAATAACAAGATCCTAAGGTTATGGTGCGGTCTTGTACCGACGTTTCCGAAGAACCTGCAGCCTCAGTTTTTGTGTCGGACCTACATCGATTAAAGCGTAATTCTCTCGGAACTTTTTTAACGTTTCATTATACCAAATTTAATCAAATTTCATTATAATTGAAATTAACATTTATCTAATTTCGGAATCACTGTTATTATGTATACGGTATTTATGGGCTGATTGAAATATATACATGAGGTTTAAGATACATTTCAAACTTAATGTTTCACCAGTGCTATTGGCACGGACAATTAAACTGCTTAGGTAAACGCCTTCTTGAAAAATAGTCACGTTAATGAAACCAGTGACACACGGGATGCTGCAATATGGTCTTATATTCTAACTTAAATGTTTAGTGACCAAAATACGAGATGCCATTCAATATAGGTAACACTATTCGATATCGAGAAAAACATCCGATATTGATATGGGTCCAATTCGTAGCAGTATGAAACTTCCTGTGGTTATTTCGAAATATCTAAAGGCTGGACTTCCAGCTAACTCTCTGTCAACTGACACCTGCCTCTTTTCTTCACAGGCTGACTTTCAACTTACTGGGTTGTCCCAGTTGTCTTCCTTGCAGGGACCGAACAGAAAAACAGCTTTCAACAGTAATTGTATTGTTGTGTGTGAATTCGTTGCCGCGAGAACGTGTTTGCCGAACCGTTGCCTAGAAACGGGTTACACAACACCTTTGTTTATTCGCCTATTGCATAAGAACAGCTGTACACGCCACAATATACAGTAGAACCTATCCACAAAATCTTCGAATATTGTCATAATTTGAAACCATACATCTACTACTAGGTCTACAGAGAGGACATTTTAGATTGATGATAATTGCGATGTAACTTTCCTTCAATAGAGTTGAAGACTGCAATACCGATTGAAGTACATATTTTTTTTATTTAAAAAAACGACGTATATACAAAAGGCCTAGGCAAAGGCCACCGGCCCTCTGTAAAGCACAGATAATCTCACGCCTGTTTACTGCTTCCATCTATTGGTTCTGTTCTCAGCTACTACCCATGATCTGTATGCATAACGCACAGTCATTCTTCTTTGGTTATTTAACTATCTTTAATTAGATTATACACTAAACCATCGCTTCTTCGGATTAATTGGGGGAGGGCATCCGGATTAAGCGGTAATCTGGATTAATGAAGTATCAGATAGTCCTAAAACACAAAAAGAAACTTATAAAACAAATAAATGAAAAATGTAATAATGTAGGTAGTGCTGATGAAAATAAATAAAAAATATCACTGCAGCAATTTCTTCCTCTGTCAGAAGCTGAAATCCAGGGTCTCCTTCATCCAGCTGAAGCCAATCTTGGATATTTGCTTGCGCGGTTTCAGTCTCTCCAGCTGCCCTCAGCACAGTCTGAAAGTCCTCTTTCTCCTAAATCCCACGTGCACTCAACTGTAAACAAAATTTTTAATATTTTGATCCGGATTAACTTTAACCGGCTTCGCGAAGGTTTACTGCATAGCTTCTGTAATCAGTTATAAACCATATCTATATACACGTGTATATATATATATATATAATCTATTTGGAAACTGCGCTTGTGATATATTCATGTTAGCCGACACTAGGACTAATATCAGACAATGAATCAGTTTCCAATCCACACATATCAATGCTTGACTCCCATATATTCAAACCAAGATTCGAACCCTAGCTTCGGATTAATATGTTGGTTCAACTTTTTATCTGACTCTAAATGCAGATGGCTCTAAGGCCCTTAATTTCCCCCAGTGCTGGCCCGGAAAGCACAAAAGGCACGTAGCAATTAGTGAATACGCCAGACGTAAGCATGTTTCATTGTGTTCAACCTACAAAGTGCAGTAGCACTTGCCTGCGACACAAGTGTCTGCACTTCTGCGTCCTCTGCGTCTAGCTTTCAGCTGGCCACGTGTTCAGTGCTTGGCTCCATAGAAAACCAATGCAAATGCGTCGATGTGTATTACTTTAGCATTATTGATCATTACGAGGCCTCTTTAATTACTAACCTCTATCTAGTGCCGAGGTCAAGAAATGTGGAGTTATACCTCCACTCCCTGATACGTCTTCATGGTATAGTGCTTAACTATTAACCTTCATACAATTTGTGTAATTTATTTTTTTGGAAGCATGTTTCGTTCTAATCGGGAGATTTTTCATATAAATTACTGGCATTTTTTTTCTGGTTAATTTTTCTGACAAAGTTTAAAATTTGTGTGGAATAGAACCGTCTTCAATTCAGTATCATCATATATATGTTAGAGATTCATATGTCAATACAGAGGGGGCGTTTAATTAAAAGTGGGAATAAACTGTCAGTAAAAGCAGAAGAGGAAACAGGCACCATTGAAGCTAATAAGGAAGTTTATCGAAAATTAAACAACTAACTCTGTGATTATTGCTTCCCTAAACAACCAGTACAAACACAAATACAATTACATAAACTGTACAAATAGCCGCTCAATTATTCGAAGCAGTTCCCGCCCTTTACGAAACCCGAAGGTTCATCACCGTGTTCACAAGATCCCCCGTGTCCGAAATCCTGTAGAATAATTGGCAACAAACTGACTCTCTTCATGTGAGGAACTGTTGGCTCCACGCTCAACCCCCAAGCTAGATTACCACCCCTTGACGGCTGTTCGCTACTGCTTACTCAACATATTAGTAGCTACCCTCCATATCTGGAAGCAGTCTCCATCCACCACCTGAGGACGCGCCATGCCATGATGACAAGTGGCCCGCCCGACATACGGAAAAATATTCGGAACCGACCCATAGCCAATGTTGGTATTTCGTCACTAGAACACGAGTAATGTAACATCTGCTTACAAGTCCTTCTAGAAATTTTGTAAAATCCT